AACTAGACACTCTAAATCAAACTCCGGAAAATTGATTGAGGTAGTATCAATGTGCCCTGGAGCGCAGATGTGGCCTTACTTGCATAATTACTCCCATTGATAATTCCAGGCCAGTTCTCCTAGCATGAGCAATGCGGCAGAGCGTTTGGCTTACGCCGTAGTTGGGCACCAACTGAGCTCTTAGCTCCTGCTTTTATACTTCTGACCCCGCCTTTCCACTTCCTGGGGGTGGGGCTGAGTTGCTCTGGCCCTGCCCACCAGGGGTCTTAGGGAATCCTTTCCCTTCCAGGTCAGAGGGAGGCCAAGTTGCCTCATTACACACACTCCCCCCAACACTCCTGACCTTCCATGGACACCCAGGGCTCCCTCTATCACATCTGGGGCCCACTGCCTCGCCCAATGTTTAATTTGTATTGAAAGAAGTCAGAGCTCAGACCTGGTGCAAATGAAGTATTGGCTGGGTGGCCTGATAGTGGTGGGTGCTGGCCGGTGCCCCGCTCTAAAGGGAACATCACAGCCACACAGCAGCAAGGGTAGCATGGCCTGTGGTGTATTGCCACCCTTACCGCTGTACTGCTCTTGTGGCTTGTAGTGCCTGGGGCTTCATTCGGTCACAGGGGGCTGCATCTTACCAGATCCTCTTGCAGCCCTTTGGCTACTCCAGCCTCACATGGATGCCATTTCAGATTTTGTGGGGCAGGTGGAAACTTTAACCAGGATTCCAGGGACTAGGCACCTTAAAGTTCTAGGGTTTTTTTTTCTTTTCAAATAATAAGAATTACCTGACAGGAGCACTGTATCCAATTATATAAAGAAAAAATACCTACACTCTCCAATTAAAGCTTATATGTACATTTAGAATAACCAGGAGGTAATAGAGCCTTGACGTATCAGCTCAGAAATACACGTTTGATGCTTTCTACACTCCCTTTAGTAGAAACCCAAAATAAATAAAATCTGCTTACTTTCTCTAACACTGTGTTAGTAGCATTATCTACTATTTTAGTCAATTGTTTTTCAGTAAAAACTAGGGCTGGTAAGTGATTAAAATGATTTGTGATTAATCTTGTGATTAATTGCACTCAAACAATGGAATGCCACTTATTTAATTTGAGGAGGTTTTCTACATTTTAAAATACTGATTTCAATTACAACACGACCACACAGTGTACAGTGCTCACTTTATTTTTGTATTATAAATGTTTGCCTTGTAAAAATCAAGATTCAGCATTTTTCAGTTCCCCCATTACAAGTACTTTAGTGCCATCTCTTTATCATGAAAGTTTAACTTGCAAATGGAGATGTAAAAAAAAAAACCTAAAACACCACTGCCTTCAAAAACAAAATAATGTAAGGCTACGTCTAGACGGGCATGATTTTCCGCAAATGCTTTTAAAGGAAAAGTTTTCTGTTAAAAGCATTTGCGGAAAAGAGCATCTAGATTGGCAGGACGCTTTTCCGCAACAGCACTTTTGTGCCATTTTCACGATCGGGGCTTTTTTGCACAAAAGCGCGAAAGCTTTTGCGCAAAAAGACTTTTGCCCAAATGGGAGCAGCATAGTATTTCCGCAAGAAGCACTGATTTCAGACAGTAGGAAGTCAGTGTTCTTGTGGAAATTCAAGCGGCCAGTGTAGACAGCTGGCAAGTTTTTCCACAAAAGCAGCTGCTTTTGCAGAAAAACTTGCCAGTCTAGACGCAGCCTACGAGTTTAGAGTCTACAAAGTCCATTCAGTCCTAATTATTGTTCAGCTAGTCAGATAAACATTTGTGGGAGAGAATGCTTCTGCTGCTTGTTTAAAATGTCACCCAACAGGACAGCTAGTTGTATGTCACTGTTTTAGCTGGTGTTGCAACATATTTATCTGCCAAATGTGCTGAAAATTCATATGTCCCTTCATGGTCAACCACCATTCCAAACAACATGTATTCAGGTTGGTGATGGGTTCTGCTCAATTTTTTCAAGTACGATTTTTTTTTTGCCCCCAAG